CGGCGCGCTCTCGCGGACTGTGCCATGGCGGCCTTCAGCAAGTACCTGACGGTGCGAAACTCTTCCCTGGCGGGGGCCGCCTTTCTGCTGCTCTGCCTGCTGCACAAGCGGCGCCGCGCCCTCGGCCTGCACGGGTAAGAAGGCCGTGGCCGGGCCGCCTCCCCGGGCCCCCGCGGGCGCTCCTTGCGCGCTCTCCTCCCTCGCCAGGCGGACGGCTCGCTTTGCCCGGAGAGACCGAGCGGCGAGGGGGCGGCCGCCGCCGGGTTCCAGTGTCAGGGCGTCCGGGTGTCCCCGCGGCCCCGGCGGCCACTGGGCTCGCTCACTCTGCCCCCTGGGCTGCCAGTCTTTCTCCTGCGCCCGCTGGCGAACCTGTGCCTCTGCCCCGAGGGGTCGGCCCCCGAGTCCTCCCCAGACCGCCTCGTTTCTGCATCAACTTTCTGGGTGTGTTCTGGGTTTGCCATCTCATCTGTCAGACTGTGGGTTTGCTTTGTGGACGTGTGTGCGTGTGGCTTAAGGACGGGGATTGAACTCACTGGGCTTGAGGCTGTTGTCCAAGTCATTGGATGAGGTTTGGCACGATTTCTTAGTAGCTGCTGTTGGTAAGTCGCGAGGGATGGGTCTTGTGAACTATCCTGGGTCCACTTTGCAAAGTTACTTTCTAAAGTGGGGTCCGCTTGGAGTTGGTTAGTGGACGCCCTGGCATTTCACCCGGAAAGGCTAGATCGGTTCCCTGGCTCTGCAGATGGAAGGTGAAAATGTGTCTTAAATAAGGGTCAAGAACCTTTTTATTTATACTGTATTGTTTCCCCCCTGGAGAATTTTAGTGTTTAGACTTAAGTTTGGGAGATTAGAAGATTATAAGAAGGAAGAGAGAGAATTGGGTGCCTGTTGTGAGGTTACAGACAATTTTTTATTTGCTGGGAGTCACTTGCCTTAAGCGAATGAATGAGAAAAGGATACTTGCCAAGCATTCTTGGCACCATTGGATATTTCATATTAAATCTTCGCATCGTGCTTTCATGCGTTTTATTTCATTCGTTTCTCTGCGCAGGTGCCTTCTGTTTTGGTTAACATTAGCCTTTGGACTAAAACACTACTTGGCCTTCCTTCGCATGAAATTCTTACTAACCTCCTGACTTCCTTAACTTATTGAAGTCTGGAGCGATGGTCTTTCTTTTCCTTCCTAAATCTACTTAATGAAGTTGAAAGTGATATGCATCTTGTCTGGACAATGCAGTACCTATTCACTTTTCTTCTATTCAATTCACTTTTGAAATGATTTATTCTGGGAAATATAAACAAAATTTTCTATTAGATTGTATGCTTTGAGCTCCCACTTGCTAATGGAAGTTATTTGTTATCAAGGAATATGGCAATACAAAACATTGAATGCTATAAAATAACCTTGAGTTACATTTTTCCCGAGACATGTTTCAGTCGTAGAGCAGGTGTTTTAGTATGAGGGAGACTTGAAGACAAACCTAACAGCTCTGGCTTGCTTTTTTGCTCTTTGTTTGTTTAAACTTTGCTTTGTTGGAGTATTATATACTTGTAGAAAAATACACGTAAGTGTATAGAGCTTGAAGAATTTTCACAAATGGAACTCACCCATGTAATCATCACCCAGATCTCCACCCAGATAAGAACATTATTAACAACACCCCAGAAGCTCTCTTCAAGCCCCTTCCTGTCACAGCTAAAGTAGTTACTGATTAATAAGGCCATAGCTTATTAAGTAAGGGAAATTTTAAACATAGTCTGATGGGAAATAGTAGCAATAATAGCAAAACAGTATAATGGAATCTCTTATTAAGCAATTTTTTGTGTTCATTATTATATAAAATACTTTAAAATCTCCTTTTGAGAAACTTTGTGAACTTTTTCGGGGGATTAAATTATGCAACAGTTAATTTATTGAACGAAAGATTGTTGTTAATCTTTGGCACTGACAGGAGTAAGGAAAAATCTGTATTTTCTACATTAAATAGTTTGTGAGAGGGGAGTGCAAATTATGAGCAGATAAACATGAAGTTTAAATCACTGAGATAAAATGATTGAATTATTTTAAAACCATTAAGAATGGTGTTGAGTATGTCTTTATAGGTAATATACTTCCAGAATCTTTTAGATATCTTTCAGTCACTGTCTTGGCATCACACTTTGAAGATTAGAAAAGTCTAACTGTATTTTACCGGTTTTCGGGGTATCTTTGCTAACAGAGCTAATTAATTTTACTGTCTAGTGCCTAATGAAGGAACCTGTGACTACTTGGGCTTTTTTCGTCTGAGCTATTAACAGTAGATTTGTTTTGGAGAATATTCCTTAGAATCAGATGGGCAATAAAACTAACAGAACTACTTTACAAGTTACAGTGTCATATAAATTCCAGACATTGGGAGGAGTAATTTAATGTTCTGAATAATTTCTTAGTTTTGTTAATGCAGTCATTCTACCCAGTCAAATCATATGTTAGATTATATATATATATATGAATTTTTACATATATACATATATATGAATTTTTATTATGGAAAATTACACACATATTCAAAGTAAGCAGAATAATATAATGGACCCCCTGTACACTTTAAACAAGAAGTACCACCAACATTGTACCATTCTTGTTTCATCTGTAGTTCTTTGCTCCCTACCCCTTATTTTTACAGCTTTTTAGGTAAAATTTATATGTATTGAACTGTATGCATCATATACATTTTTTAAATAAGTGGATACAATAGTGTAAATGTCCTTTTCATAAATTAGAACATTTTTATCTCCCCAGAAAGCTCCCTTGTTCCCATTCCCCATGACCACTGTACTCTTTTTCACCCTAGTTTTGCTTAATCATACATCTAATTTTGTTTATTACTTTTGACAAATAGTGGAATCTTTTTACTTTTGAATAAAGGAGACCGTGTATTCAGTTCAAAGGAAGTATCTGTTTCAGAATGTTGTATTACTGTGCTAGGTGCTGTGGGATGGAGACAGGGATGTGTGTTTGTGTGTGTGTATTACACATACATTCAGGAAATATTTGACATTTTTAAGTGGGAATTTGTTAAAAATGTAAGATGATGGCCATGCAGTGTACAGGTAGTCATGCCTTAGAAATTCTGAGAATGAAGAGATTAAAGTGTTTAGAAAGAATTAGGGAAGGTTTTATGAAGGATGTTAGCTAAACCTAGAAAGGGGGTAGGAATGAATAACTGGAGCTAAATTGAATGTTAATAGCAGCCTTTATCAGATTTTGTACCATTTTGTGAGAGGAGGAAGCTTGGTGGTGGTGCTGTTTCAGTCCATCTTCTGCTACCACCAGAGTTCTTTTTAAGAAACAGAAATACAAACGTGTTATTTCTTCATTAAAATCTTTCTGCTATTCTAAAACACAAAATTCTTAGTATGAGAGAATGGTGTTCATGATCTGGTCCTTCACCACCTCTCCTACTTGGCCGGCTGTATGGAGTTAAGTCTCGGAGTCGGACAGGCTCTGCCCGGCCGTTGCAGTCTGCTTGTGGTCACTGTCGTCTCCACTTCTCCCCACCCTTTGATGCTTGTTTTCCTTCAAGATTCAGTTCATTTAGCACTTTCTCTTAGATGTTTTCTGTCTTTTTCTGATCTCCAATCTGATGTTACTTCCTCTGCTCTCATGCTGCTCTAAGCATTCCTCTGCTCTGGTTACCACGCTATGTGGTCCTAGTTTATTTTCTTGGCTTCTGCTTGGGACAGACTCTGAGTTTCTGGTGGGCATGGGCTGAGTCATCTTTAAATTCCTCGTTTGCACATGTCAAGGGATAGACATTCAGTAAGTACAGAGTAGCAGATGATGTAGGATAGTTGAAGAAGGGTGATGGGCAGGCAATTAGAGACACCGACATACATAAGTAGAGATGTTGTCTTCGGAGAAGTGACAGTTGTGTACTTGAGATTGTAAAACATGTGCTGGGGGTTGGGAAATCAGTGGACCACTTTTAGAAGGCAGGGAAGGGACCGGTCTACATTGCCAAACTATTTTTTTCCTTTTTTTTTTAATTGAAGTATACTCAGTTTACAATGTTGTTTTGTGTCAATTTCTGGTGTACAGCATGGTGTTTCGGTCATATATACACACACATATATTCCTTTTTGATTCCTTTATATTCTTTTTTGTTGTAGGTCACTACAAGGTATTGAATATAGTTCTCTGTGCAATACAGTAGAAACTTGCTTATCTATTTTATATATAGTAATTAGTATCTGCAAATCTCAAACTCCCCGTTTATCCCTTCCTACTCCTTTTCCCCTTGGTGACCATAAGTTTGTTATCTATGTCTGTGAGTCTGTTTCTGTTTTGTAAATAAATTCATTTGTATCTTTTTTTTTTTAGATTCCACTTGTAAGTGATTTCATATGATATTTTTCTTTCTTTTTCTAGCTTCACTTAATATGACTATCTCCAGGTCCATCCATGTTGCTGCAAATGACATGATTTTATTCTTTTTTATGGCAGAGTAGTATTCCATTGTCCAAATATACAGTCATCTGTCAGTGGATATCTAGGTTGTTTCCCTGTCTTGGCTATTATGACAGTACCGCTGTGAAGATGGGGTGCATCTGTCCTTCTGAGTTAGAGTTCCCTCTGGATAGATGCCTAGGAGTGGGATTGTTAAGCTGTTTTATGATCTAAATAAACCAAATGAAGAACAAAAACAGAACAAAGCAGTTTCCTTTCCCTCCCCATGGATCCTTGCCAAAGTTCAGATTTCTCATCTGGATTTCAGAGCCTTTCTTTATCTGGTCTCCCCTTACCTGGCTAACCTTACATGCCATTGCTTGCCAATGACTACTCTCTGTTACAAGTAGGCCAGTTTCTGAACTGCTCTTTGAACAAACTGCACTCATTCCTGGCTTTGGAGGCTTATTCATAATATTAGCCACACCTGGAATATCTCTCTCTCTGTCCTCTGTTCTTTAGCTCTTATCCTTTAAGAGTTAGGTCAGGGCCACCTTTTCCATGAAGTATTTTGAAGCAGCTCTTGATCTGAATGATGATCATCCCCCTTTAACCTCTGAACCGTGGACTTAGGTCCTTTCCTTGTTTCATCTATTCACTGCTTGACTGGGTTCGATCTAGCTGTTCGCCATCAGTGTAGCCTCG